GTCTTTCTGACTAAATGCAGCACTCCAGACTCTATGCCAGGGGGAAATGAGGTGCGGCAACATTTCAGAGCAGTTAATATACGAATTAAAACTAGGAAAAATAAATCCCCTGCAAAATGAAAACTGACTCAGTCCTTTAGGGGCTAACCTTTGCAGCTCTAACAAAATTAACTCAGGAAAGGAGACAGGGTTTATAGCCACATTTAACAGAAGGGCTCAGAGAAAACAAGCAGAATTTCCCTTAATGGAAAAATAGTTCTCCTGTTCTACCCCTCACAAAGACTTTTTAACTGGTCCTGCAGAAATTCAGGAAATTTACCAGTTGTTATAAACAAAGGGCTGCTGATCCTCAGATTTTCTGTAGAATAAGAACTCTGATGGGAGGGGGGCTGAAAAAGAGCTAATGATTACCTTTTGGCAGAAGTGAGTCAGAAACCCCTTCTGAACATCCCCATCACTGTAGAGGGCACCTCCATCCTCCCAGGCCCACAGGCTCACAACCCAGGAGTCACCCCGGATTCCTCACTATCTCTCACCTCCAATATCCAGACTAAGGCCTGTCAATTTCAATTTTGCAGAATCTCCCCAATACTGTCCCCTTTTCTCCTCTGACCCTGCCCCCACCCTGGTGCGGACCCTCATTACCTCACACCTGGACTTCTGAAATAGCTACTGGTGAGGTCTGCCCGCCTCAGGCTCTCCCCGTCCAGTCCACCCTCCATTCAGACATAATGTGATTTCCCTACTCAATAAAGTTCAGTGGTTCCTGGTGGCCTTCAGGAGCAAATGCAGACATCCTAAAAAATTGAATGAGCTCTGCCCTCGCCCTGTCTTCAGTAGCCCATGGCTCAGTGGGGAAGGGCACATCCCAGTTTAAGTTTCTTTGCTCCCTTGTTTGGAGGATGATGGGGCTCAGGGAGCCGCCTCTGAGGTGGGAGGCTGGAGTAGGACACATGTGGAGTCGGGAGCAAGGGAAACCTTGGAGAGCAGAATGGAGCCTTAGCTGGAATCTGGGACCTGGACACTGACAGGGCTGGGGGAACTGAGTCAAGACCCAGATAATGCAGGGTCCCAGAGGGAGAGGTAGGGGAGGGGAAGAGAAGCTAAGGAGACTGAGGAGATGGCACTGCAGAGTCAGATTTAGAAGAGGAAAGGACCTTAAGGGATGTCGAGGCCAACCTTTGGTTTTTACAGATGAGGAAACTGAGACAGAGGATGCTTCCATCATTGCCCAGAATCGCCACTAGTGTGGGACCTCATAAGTTCCTGAGGCAGGGTTCAAACTGAGGTCTCCCTGATTCAGGATCCAGCTGCTACCAGGTACCCTGAGGGATGGAGACCCCATGAAGGGTCAGAGGTGATGCTGAGAGGATGTATGGAGGAGGGCAGAGGAAATGGTGACCCTAAGGGGACAGGGACCCAGGGTATGACAGTGAGAAGAGACCTCCCCAAGAGAAACCGAGGGGTGCAGTGTGTTAAGGACTATCTATGGAGGTAGTGGAAAAGTATTTGGTGGGACCAGGCCCTTCAACGGATGCCATTTTTAATAACTTATATTCACTATGATTTCTCCTGTCTGTGCAAATGCACTTTAAATACAAATAATTACAAGCAGATATTATAATTTTACTTTGAAATTAAAATTTGCATCCTACTCTATTCTCTTCACTTTATGAATTAAAAAATGCACTGTGCAGTCACTTAGCTTGGCACTTTGAAGTATTCTTAAATTCTAGTTCTTCTAGTAAAGTATAGTCTGAATGTGAACTTGTCGGGGATGGTTTTGCAGAAGTTCTCGTTCCAGCGCAGGAAGGCTGGACGAGAAACATTCTGCAATCCCTTCCAACTCTGAGATTCTGTGAAATCTCTCCATTTTCCAGGGCACGTTATTGACAGCAAAACAAAGTGCCTTCAAATCTCACGAAATTGCTAGATGTGAAATGATTTCCTTCTAATTTTTGTCCTTGGGGTTGGATTTTGTTATTACCTGCCTTTCCTCTCCCACTTCTACCTCTATTTACCTTTATAGGTTCCCTTTTCTATTTTCTTCACTGTTAACTGCTTGCATTTGAGAGACTAAGATGAATGGCATATGCTTCTTACATAACATTTTCTCTGACACCTGGCACTCTTGGAGAAAAAAAAACCTCAAATTAAATCGAATATGTGTGTATGTATAATATATTATATGTATACATACATGGTATGTATGTATATATACACATGCATACATATATGCATACATGTGTATTGATTTTAGTGTGCGTATATGTGTATTTTCACATATATATTTATACATATGCACACAAAAGTGAGACAACCTCTTTTGCATGCTAGGAAAAGAGAATATTAGCACCAATGATAAATAACAGCTAATCCTAAAATCACTTATAGCCTAAGGAAGAGAAGATTGATGCAGGGGGAGGAGAGGCAGGGAAGGGGGAGGACATGGCTATCTTTGGCCATCTCAAAGGTTTCATTTGAAAGGTGGATTCAACCTCTTCTGCTTGGTCCCAGAGGGCAAAACTGGGACCTGTGAATGGAAGTTAAAGATTTGGGTTTAATATAACCAAGAGCTTCCTTATAATGATATCTGTCCAAAAATACAATGACTCAGCTGGGACACTTTTGTTCTCCCCAACACAGAAGCTCTTCAAGTAGAGTTAGGATGATTGAGCACTTTTCAGGTACATCGTAGAGAGCTTTCATTCTTTGGGTAAGGGTTGGACTAGATTAGCTTGGTGTGATTATTTGATTATATGATTTTATTTGACATTCATTAGAGACACATATATTTGCAGTTAAGAAAGATTTACTCTTGTAAGTATTTTTCTTATGTTAATATAAAAATTAGTTTCCATCTCCTGGGCACATACCAAATGTTGATAATAAGGCATATGCCAAGTGGCTTAAAGAAGTCAGTTTATTTAAAACTTCAATCATAATCCATACAATTAATCTGTTATGATTATTTTGATGAACTACACAATCAAACAAGGAGATATTTGGAACCTGTGGGTGGAAGGTTACCAACACTGACAAAAGTAAGAATCCTTTGAAGCATTCAAATAATGGTATTAGGGTTATTAATAATAAGTCAGTATATCAGGGATCTTTGATTTCATCCAACAGAGATCACACTCCATCTGTAACTTAGTAATCATCTGTAATTTATCATTTTAGCTAGTTTCCTAAGGCTCAGAGATCCTTACCAATGAATATACAGTTTGGAAGCTATCAGATGTAGAATGAGACCCAGAACCAAAATGAGATGCCATACTATGCTTCCTCTTAGTTATAATAATATTTCTTAGCCAATCAATTAGCATTTATTAATCACTTACTACAGGGCCAGACTCTATGCTAAGCACTGGGAGTCAATGCCATCAATAGACCCCCAATCTCTTAGAAGGTCTCTAATGGAGCTCCTCAGTTTTCTTTTAATGGCCCTGTACCACTCAAGGTTTTTGTCAGTGAGACAGACAAAAGTATAGGTAGAATACTTACCAAATATGCAGATGGCCCAAACCCTAGGACAAATAGCCAGCATGACACACTGGAATATAATCAAAACCTAAGAAGATCTTGACCAGCTAGAATATCGGGTCAAATCCAATGAGATGAAATTTAATAAAGGCAAAAGTGAAATCTTACACTTGTGTCCAAAAAGTCAAGGTCATAAGTATAGGATAAAGGAGGAGTGTATCTAAAAAAATCTGGTGCTTTGGGTGTATAGCAAGCTCAGTGTGTCAATAGTATAAAGTGGCAGTCTGGAAGGCCCATACAATCTTGGATTTAACTAAGAAAGAAATGGCTTCTAGGACAAAGGAGGGGGCGGTCTCACTGTACTCTGTCTGACAGAGCACATCTGGCACATGGTGCTCATTTCTCAACTCCGCTTTTTAGAGGGAAGAGCTAAAGCTGTGGAATCCTTCCACAGCAAAATAAACAGGATGATGAACATAAGACGGGGGAAAAGGGTGGCAAATAATTTGGAATTGGTGGATCTGTAAGAGTCTTTTCATCTCTCTGGGGCTCATTTGTCTTCCAAAAGACATCTATTTATGTTGTCATAAAATGAAGAGGTTGTTCTAGGTGACCTCTGGAGTCCTTTCCAGTTCCAAGTCTGTGTTCCTATGACCCTCAGCCAGATCCCTTGACATATGAGTAGCACATGAGGAGAATGAGGAAGGAGGGGCTGGATATGGGTAAAGTTGGGTTGGCAGTACCTTATAGCTGTAATCAAATATCTGAACGACTGTTACATGGAAGAGAGATTAGACTTCTGTTTAATCTCTGAGAGCAAAACAGGAATTGTGGGTGAAAGAGGTAAAGAGGCTAGTTTAGGCTTAATAGAAGGAACAAATTCCTAACAGGTGGGGCTATTTGAGTTAAACGGGCTGTCTCAAGAGGTAGGAGGTTCCCCCTCACCGAAGGTCTTTAAGCTAAGGTTGAATGGCCGTTTGTCAAGTATATTGTTGGGAGGAATCTTGTTCAGCTATGGGTTGGACTAAATTGTTAAAGATTCTCTGAAATTCTGTGATTCTGAATCTAAAGACTTTGATATGTTCGAAGTGGGAAAGAAATACTCTGCACTCAGTGTTTGGTGAATGAATGAAGGAAAGAGTGAATAATCTACATTGGCAGTGAATAATTGATATGGCTTGTTTTTCTTTTCTGTTTTCTATTCTTGCATGTTTCCAGGGGAAAGGAACAATTTAGAAAAGCTCCAAGTCAACTATTAATGTTTAGGGACTTTTTGGTATTACTTATAGCCTCTTAAATTGGAAGTTTCTCGGAGAAATCAAGTCTAACACATGCTACTGGCTTCCTTAAGAAATGGTTAGATAAACTCAATTGAACCCAAATGCACCCAAGACCCAACCTTGTTTCTCCTCGTGCCCTTCAGAGCTGACATCCAGCCACTGCTTTCCTCAGTTAAGTTCTATTAGACGTTGTCATAATTGGGCATTAATTAGACTATCTCTCTTTTTCCCTAGCCTGAGGTTCTGGAACAAATACAAAACCTAAGGGAATTGTGGATGGACAATAATGCACTTCAAACACTTCCTGGGGTATGTAAGTTTATATTATGTAATGCTTTTTATATGTGTTTTAAGAGAAATATCATTTAAACGTCATATTATCATTTAACCGTAATAAATTCCATTTATATAGTAGCTTTAAAAGCATTTTAATAAGACATATTATAGCAATGTTTAACTGCAAAAAGTATTCCACTAATTTAATTTTAGTTCTTTAATTATTCTGTGTATGTGCTTAAAAATGTATGAATGGTCCACCTTATTAGTTCTCTTTGGAGTATCTCTCTTATCTGTGCCACTTAATTGATATTACTTATGTTCTACAAAGTTGGAAAGTGTATTGCTACCAGATGAAAAATAAATAGTCTATATACTCATGAATGATCTATGTGATCTAATTTAGGAAATTTTATGTAATGAATAGGCCTTGGAAATGCCATGAGTTTCCTCAGTTCACAAAACTGACCTAAGTTTTATAGAATTAACCATTATCCTTAGAGCTAATCAGAAACTCCATTAATATTTTTACAATCCTGTCTTAAGAGCAAAACCATTCTTTGGGTCCCATCTATTTCCTTTAGACTCAAGTTAAAATTTTGAGTACAGTATGAGCCAAAATTTAATTAAGGTAGATGAAAAGTCAAAGAATCAGATTCTTCACTGTCTTAAAGGGCAACTTTATACTTTCTCCTAAGTGGAAGCTATAGCAATTAACTTATGAGCATGGGTCTTATGGCTCTTCCCGTGGCCTGGGAGAGTTTCAGTCCAAGGAGCATACTCCCACTCTGGCCCAAAGCCCAGTCCCAGTATTTAAGCATGAAAACATCTCAAATGGCTAATAGCAACTCTATTAGCATCATTACCCCTTCTGTATGCTCCAAAGATGGCTTCCTTGCCCCTGCTCTATACAATAATATAAGAAAATTAGTAGGAAGTGTAAATATAACCAGAAACAAATGTATTCTCCTTTTGGACAATCATAAGCCTAATTAAAAGGATGAGTCTTGAAATGGAGCAGAGAGCTTACTTCTGTAACTTGAAAATCACATTGCTACTAATCCTCCTAGTCATAATGGAGAAATACACATGTGTGTGTGTGTATATATATCTATATATAGAGATATTTACATATCTAGATTGAATTAGATAGATGCAGATAGATAGATGGATAGATCGATCCCGGCTTTATCTTCATAAAGTATCCATACATCGGTGAGTATGTATAGTGCTTACTAAAGAGCTCTGCCCATAGTGGGCACTCAATAAGTGTCATTTGAACAGGCTATATATCTAGTTCAAGGACTCCTCCACCCTCGATGTCCCCTGGGGTCATCAGAATATAGCTTGTGACTAGAACACTGCAGATTTGGGTAGGAATGTCCCTCAGCTCCCATTTTTAAGCACTCAACTTTTATGCAAAATTCTGACCAGTTTTTATTTTGCCCCACAGAAAGAATGTGTGGGGAGAAAATACAAGGAACTCAAAGCAGTTTTTAAACTGGCAAGGCAATTCTCCCCCTCCAGCAATCTTATCTCCCTCCATATCACCATCATGCAGCCCAAATTTCCCTGGAAAGGAAGTACATGTGAGGCAGAGATCAATGACCCTTCATGTCCCTTCCCAGAAGTACTGACACCATTCTCTAGATGTAGAGTGACACCCTGTGATTGGGTCTCTCTTGGAAGGGATGTCAGCATGCTTGGTGTTGTCAAGAAGTCAGCCCCTCCTTGCCCTTAGAGCTGGACAGCCCAGATAACTAAGTAACAATGGAGGCCAAGATCCAGGTTTCTCCATGTAGCCCTTTCTGCTTCTCCACCTCTAGACCACATGTTATTCCTTTTCTCCCAAGGTGGCTTGGTTTTGTAATGCAGAAGAATTCCTCCTCTTCTTCTCAAAAGCTTGCGTCCAGGCACCTAAGGCAAACTTCTCCTGAGGAAGCAGGGTCCAGGAACACAGGATGTGTTCAGGAAATCCACCTCCTCTCTCCAGACGTGGCCTCAGAAGTTCTCTGCAAAGCACCCCTGCCATCTGTGGGGATGAGCATTCTCCCCAAAGAGAGAGCTATTTGGACAGGCAGGCTTCCTGGGTCCAGGGACCCACATGTCTATAGGTCCTGTCTATGCTCAATTCTTTTGGCCTCTTATCTCCCTGCCTCTCTGAACCTGTTTAGAGGTCTCAGTCCAGGGAAATAACTAAGCTCTGAATAGCCACAACCCAATCAGTTATCCTCAAGGATGTGTAAATGGTTCAAAGTGAACCTAGGCCAAAAAGACTTCTTCTACTCCTCAAGGAGATGTGAGTATTCATCTCAGTATGGCATCAATGGGAAGATTCATTCTTTCCACAGGAAATATGTCTTCAGAGGCAGACTAAATCCTTATCCTTTACTTTGTCCTATATATCATGCCTCTGATCATTTGATTTCATTGAATATATTCATACTTTGCTTACAGAGGTATCTTTAAAGTCAAAACAAATGCCTCATCCATTAGCCTCATTGGGTTGACAAGGCTACTTCTGATCAATATTCTCCACATTGTCATACTTACATGTATCTCTGGTGTCACAGATGTGGGTACTGCCTTCAAAGATGCAGTCACAACTCATCCACATTTTCTCATCCTGTGTGACTTTTGCCCATGCCTCCCACCAGTCCTCTACAAAGAATCTATCCAATGTACTATGGAAAGGCCTTCTTCTGTCTCTTGACACTGCATGGATACAAGTGGACTTCCCCTCCTTTTGCCCCCCGACCAGGCCACCTTCTCTCTGACAATATCCTTGATGTCACAGTTTCTGCTCGATTCTTAGTTCTAATGTCTTACAACCTATACTTGCTCACGTACCTCTCCATAAAGATGAGTGATCCTCAATTTTAATTCTTTGGAAACTGGTTCTCCATGAATCATAGTCATGTAAAATCACCAAAGAAATACTGATGCTTACAATATAGACATTTGTGTCGAGGAGAAGCTTGGAGACTTTAAAAAAATGTGGCAGTATCTCAAAAGTAATCAAGCTCATTACCAAACTTAAATTCTGGGTGCAGCTCCTTATCCATTTGTAGTGAATATCCAATAGATAGATATTGATGGACAAGTTCTATAGGTTGACTATCTATTGAACTGCATATCATCATTTAAACAATAAGCATTCTTCCTTACTGTGGCTTCCCTAGTGTAGATAGGCCAAACTCTTTTTAGTGAATGTCAATCCCATCTAGGAGACTGAAATGTTCTGGGGCTTAATGCAAATGGGACAATGTCATCCACCAACAGAAGCATTTAGAAGACTTCTTCATTTATAGAGAATTCCTCTTTCATTTGGACTCTGCATGGGGCATCTTCCATAAGAGTGGTAAATGGTGAGCAGACAATGTCCATGTTAATAATCAGAGGGTCAAAAAACAGAGCTACTTCATTATTATGTTTTTAAGGAAAACCTTGCATAATTTTAATATATTCATAGGGGAGACTTATTGGAAGAGAGCCTTTAATGTGGCATCCTGCTCTACCAAATCAAATGTATTTTAACAGCCAGCAAACACTAAGCATAATGGAATGTTATATTGTCTAAACCTTTTAGTCAATTATTTAGCCAATTTAGTCTCTAAGGACATAATTCTGATATAGAATATCATTCCAAAAACTTGCATTTTCCCTTCTCATCAGGCTTTTATTATCAAGGATGCTTGAGATATGCGTGTAGATTATTCTCTTAGATTTTATAAAGATGAAAAAGGAGGGATATGGATTAGTAGTTATTGATAATTTTTAAATTATTCTTTGGGAGAGGTGTAATGTTAACATCCATGACTGTTTCTGAGCATTTGTTATCAAGTTTTCTTTCAGATATTTTGAATATCAGTCCCTCAATACCCAAAAAATTGTGTTACTTCTACCATAGCCATCATCTGTGTAGAGTTGGCCTAGAATAGCTGCATTTCTCATCTTTATTTCTCTTGGTGCCATTTCTACTTCCCATGAGGGGCAATGAGTTTAGATTCCAAATGTGATGACTCCATTCTTGATAGAAAAAATACTTCGGTAAAGAAATCTTAGCAAAGCTTTTCTTTCTTGACAAAGTATTTGTACTAAGATCATGCTTACATGCTCTCGGGGATGATCTGACTTCATTTAGGCCTTTGCCAGGCTTTCTTTCAACTTTGTCCCTCCACTGTCCCTTGGTATTTTCTGAGAGCATGACCGTTCTTAATATTCCAACATCTTCCTCTGTAATATTTTAGAAGTGATTTTGTTTTAAATCAGTGTTGCTTGTAGCTAAAATATTTCTTGCCTTGGCAGGTAGAACAAGTCTTTGCTGAGTAAGCCTTTTTCAGTCTGCTCCTTGTGCCAGTTGATTTACATCAATAAAACTTCCTTAAGAATTGGTTATAATCTGGGTTGATACTTGTCCTTTCATCCACTTCCTATGTCGTTTTGCATCAGCAGAATATTTAAGTATGTTTTAGCTGGAGTTGCCTCAAATGGCATATCATTATTTTTGTTCTTCAACTTGATATTTATTTTTATCTTGAGTCTAACAAGTCAGTGTTCTTACGATGCAAAGATAACTGATTCATAAATGACTCTCACATCAGTATTCAATTGCTTTCTGTCAGAATATAGTCAATTTCATTTTTGATGTTATTTGGTGCTGGCCATAGCAAGCACCTCCCAGCACTTTAGAAATAATAATAAAGTGCTCACGATATAAAGAAATTGGTCATCTTATAATTCACAAGACTTTCAGCTTTCTTGTCTCTTACTCTGGAATCAGGTTTTCCAACATATTTTTACTGTCCTTCTCCTGATTTCCTTTGCCTTCTAGTCATAAATATAATCCTAAATTATATATGGATTTAATTTAGAGATTCTTGCTAAGTCCACAGAATTTTTGGACCTTCTCAGGCTCTACCACAGATGTGGACACACAAACTGCAGTTATCTTTGTGATTGTTTTTTTTTTTCAAATGTTCATAATGAGCAAGACAATATGATATGACTGAATGTCCCATGAAATGATTATCTTTGCATCCTTAAATGTATGACAAAAGCATCTTCACTGACTCTTTATCTGCCTTTCCAAAGAGAGCCTGGGAGCCATCCTTCCATTTAGATGGATCTTTCCATTGTCTTACAGTTCCATTTATAGGGAGAATTCAGCAACTCTGGTTATACGGCTACTCACGGGTCATTCTGCAAGGATTTAACATTTGGAGCATCGACGGTCAATTAGAGTTTATTAATAGAGGTAGGGACTGAACCTGTGATTTTAATGGCCAAGGAACCCCCAGGTGAGGACGCTCCCTCTACCAGAGTTGGTCAAACAACGTCTCTGCACATCACAGTCTTATAGAATTGTCTCAAGCAGAGGGGCCAAGGTCAAATAGAAACAGGGCCACTGAACCAAACAGAAGGATCCCTGTGGCAGCTCTTAACTTAGAAATTCCCATATTAACATGCCCTACGTCCCACTGTATTTTCATTCCGCTTGTTGAATATTCCCCAATTACTTTTCCATCTGGTCCCAGGACCGAGTGTTTGAAGCCTCTGGGGGAGTGCACTGAGAGCCAATGACTTGCTCAGGATCCCCCAGCTCAGGATGTGTCAAAGGCAGAGTTTGATCCAGGTCTTCCTAGCCCCGAGGCTGGATCTCTGTGGCTGTTCTGCCTCTTAAGAGTGTTTATAGACAAACTACAAATTACTGTGTGATTTTTAAATATCCTCTAAGAATCCCCCATTCCCATGACTCTGACACTATCGGACACTGCGCAGAAGTGGAAAGGGTGGAGGTGGGGGAGTCGCTGCAGAACTACGGATCTAAGAACTAAGTATTGTTTTATGGGTTGCCGTGGCTGAAGAATGCATCACTAAGTGACCAGCCTACTAGCCATGATTGTCTCCATACTTAACTCCCTGGAAAGCACAAATGACCATAAGCACCATAATCACAGCATTTCCAGCAGAATAGAATCTTCCAGAGCCAGTGCTCTTCTGGAGTAGCCTTGAGGAAACTTAGAACACCCAGAAGCTACCATGAGGCTGTAGAATAGGGCCTTGTGAGGGCAACTCACATCCACTCATTTATTTGGTTAGAAAGTCTGGTATTTCACACACATATGGCCTGTTTCAACAGACGAATTGAGACCCCCACCTTTCACTGGCTTCACTCCATGATGGACTGTGCTTTGGAATAGGCCTGTTTTGCACTGACTCAGGAAGGCTTATTGGTGAATGCACATTCAAAGAAGTAGATGGTTCTCTGTTTCATTAAGTGGTTAACCTCATTAATTTAGTGTCAGGGAACACAGTTAAAAAAAAAAACAACAAATTATGCCCCACACCTCGGCTCAAATGTATTTGCATATTTATTTGGCATTTTATCTATGAATGTTATTGCTTTTTTCTTGTTTAGCATACATTTAATAGATTAGATTCATTTGTTTTTTAATACTCCTGGAAACCTTAGCTGAAGTGATTTCATTTTTAAAAATCTTAAACACAAAATCAAATAGACAATGACCCATTTAATTAGCTTTCCAACACCTCTTGCCTCATCTTGGTAGACTACACGTTATGAAATGTTCTAAAGATTTATCAGCTGAGATGTGGTCAAAGTCTCTGTGTTAAATTTTTAATTTTCTTTCCACAAACTCTAGGGCTTCCCCTGCACACACACACACATTCATTATACCTGTTGGTCTCTAAGTCAATACATTGCAGAGAAAATGAGGGTCTGCTGTGTCGTAGGAAGCAGTTCAGGTCAGAAGTTCCCTGTATTTATCAATCAGGCATAGAACGGGCCCCAAAACCTGGGTTCGAGGGTCTGGCCTCCCTTCCATTTTTGTGCTTCTCCTATATATCCAGATACATGTATTCTCTTTCCTCACTTCACTTTTCTTGTTGCTTTTTAATTTCCAGCTCCCAGGGCTTCCTCCTCTTGCCCCATATATCTAACCTAAGGCTTCCCTACCAACATATTCTTTGAAAAGCATTTATTAAGTGTTTACTGTGTGCCAGCCGTTGGGGTACAGAACAATAGTCCCTGTCTTCAAGGCCAGTTCGGTAGTTCTGCTTTAGCACTTACCCATCTTTGAGGAGAGTATCTGGCACTTAGATCAGAACTATTGTATCCTCAAGGCCCCTCCTGCTTGTACCTCTGACTCTTTGGGGAATTAAATGCAGACACATTTTGGCCAAGAGAAAGGCCAATAAAATGTTTGTAAACAATAAAGACCAAAAATAACTTACCTTAGGAACAAAGCAGGAAAAAAAAAATGACTTGCCAGAACCTTGGACTCAAGGGAAAATTGTGTATTAGCTGGGAAGAATGCAAAATGATAAGTAAAAGAACAACTCTGTTGTCCTCAATCTTTGTCTATACCACCATGAATGTTGATGGGGACTTTCCACCCCTTCCCTGGCCTGAGGAAACAGTTGGGTCAGACAATGGCTTACCTGGCTCACTGGCTGGAAACGAAGGATAGGACAGTCATCAGGTACAGGGAGGCCAACCGACCCTGGGGAGAAGGGAAGTCATTTACTTTGAGGCAAAGCAAGAAGAAAGAGTGAAACAGTACTCAAAAGAAGTTGCTGTTTCTGTCCTACTTTGTAGAAGAGAGTCCAATTTCAGCCATTTAAAACAACAATATTTCTGACTGAGAAAATTACATGATTTTTTGATTGGTAATCTTCATTTTTCCCCAAAAGAGCCATTTGGAGTATGTTTGATTTTTTAAATAAAATCTTTTATAGCAGTATGTATTTATTCCTTGTAAACTTCTTGGAAAAGCTTCTCAACTAACCCTGAGTTTATGCAATGTCATCAAGTCTATAGGGAAATTAAAGATGTTGGTGTACCTGGATATGTCAAAAAACAGAATAGAAAATGTTGACTTGGAGATTTCTGGATGTGAAGCACTTGAAGACCTCTTATTGTCATCCAATATGTTGCAACAATTGCCTGACTCCATAGGTGAGGAAAGAGCATTTGATCGGTGAAATGTTGTGTTCAATTTACTGGTATCTTTTTACCTTTCCTGAGAGTAAGGGATGTGCCATTGCAAAGAGCACCAAATTCATTTTGAATTGACTAACCAGTATAAAATCTGAGAACTGTTGGAGGGGCAGAGGGGCATCACGGAGCAAGCACCGGCCCGGGAAACCCTGGGCTTGGGAGTCTGGCCCTGCGGCTGATGGACACTAGGTAGGTAGCCTGGGAGAAGTCCCTCTGCCTCTCTGGGCTTTGCTTTCCTCATCGGTGAAATGAAAGAGACTGACTAAGGTGATGCCTGAGCTCTTTTAAGCCCATACATTTTTATGTCAATATTTAAAGTTATTTTTTCTTTTTAAAAAGTTGTTCTTTGATTTCTAATTCTAGAAATTTGCCCTATTATGATGAACCTTTGAAATCTGCATATTGAAAATAATCCAAGTTGTTTCTTTATATTACAAATGTATTTCGTGCATTTAGAATAATTTGATAAATATGTACTATTTTTCTTACAACAGAAGGTATAGTAGTTGTAGTTCTTAGAATGCTGCTGTATTCAGGGTTGTTTTAAAATATGCACTAAAATATGTATTTTGAATTATGATTCTTTTTGCCAAATGTTAATCCTATTTTATATAACAAGTACTGTCCTCAGTTGAACAATTACAATGAAAACTGAATGTGATGTGCTGCGATCATAAAGTCAGACTGGAAACCCTTTAAAACGATATTTTGATTATTATTCATAATGACAGATGATCTTGTGAATAATCCAAGTCATTTACTTTCTCTTTGGAACCTAAATGTGTTTGATGTTGGAAACTGCACCATATGTAAAATAAACTTAGACACAGTGTGACGCTTCCCCTTTCTCCCCTTGCTGTCCTTTCCTATTCCCTAGTAGTCACCCTAAACCTTTTCAGCACCCTCTATGCTGAGATGTTTCAGCTCCATTACCAGCCAGTCTAGGTTAGAGCAAAGAGCAGTCAAAGACAAGACCTGGAAGCAGGCTTCCCTCAGAGAGGTGAGGGCAGGCAGCTAAAGTAGAAACAAGTTCAGTCCATGCAGGTCCTAGGGTGAGCCAGGTGCTTAATAGTCAGGGTCAGGAGGTGACAATACAAAGCACAGAGGAGCCATAGGTCAGTTACAGAGAGACCACTTCAGCCAGAGGGGGTCAGGTATCCAGGAGAAGAGTTGCTCAATAGCATCATAGAGCAGGATTCTGTTTGTCCCACAGTTTCTTCACTAAATCTAAGTTTAATTGGAAGGACAACAAAAAGAGTTTAGGGTCAGGGTCAAGAGAGGGATGAAAGAAGGGAGAAGATGGTTGTTCTAGATGAATGGTACAATGATGATGGGCAAGGACTGAGAATACTCTATTGATACCACCATTTATCTAGAACTTAAAAAACAAATCCTCACCTCTTTTATGTCAGAATTAATCCTCACAGAGCCAGGGACTCATCCCCATCACCCTAAAGGCTTTTGGCATCTACATTCAAGGGAAGGGTCATTGTGGGGCCTCTCCACCATTAGGGACAACTTGTCTTCTAGCAGAGCCTTGAAATTTCCTTTTCTGTTCCTATGACAAAGATTGTGAATGTTAGGAAAATTAATAAGAAATAGTGGGAAATGGAAACAAAATTGTTAAGGAGAAGAGATATAAAACTACAAAGAAAATTGTGGGAGGAAGTTTCCTCACTTGGGTGTTCTCTGTATTAATAAAAATCACATGTCCAGTGACGTCCTATCACATGTCTTATCTTCATCTTTTTTTAATACACCCACAGCTCTTCACTTTCCCTCACCCACAATATCCAATAATTTGCCAAGTATTGTCAATTTCTGACTCCTCAAAATTTTTCACATGTCTCCTTCTCTCTACTCATACCATAACCTCACTAATCCAAGCCTTCAGTCAGTCATTCCTGGGCTACTGATTGCACTAGCCTCCTTATTAGTACTCCTGCATCAAGTCTCTCCCCTCCCCAATTAATCCTCTCCAAAGCTGTCAAGTTGGATATTCCTTAACTTACTTTGAGCTTTTAGTCCACCAAGACCTCCAGATCATTTTTGGCAGAACTTTTGCCTAGTTATAACTCATCCATCCTGTAATTTTGAAGCTGATTTTTGTAACCAGTGTACAAAATTCTAGCCTATTAATATCTTTTGGGTACTTCTTCACCCAATGTTAATTATTCCTAACTAGTTAGTTTTAGTTAGGTTTTTAATAAATTAGTTTTGCATCATCTACAAATTTGACCACCATGCCTTCTATGGTTTCATTCATGTTACTGAAAAATTTATTTGGTAGCACATGGGTAAGCATATATTCCAGAAGCACTTTGCTAAATACCTCCCATGTTTACATTAGCCCCAAATTATTGGGGACCATTCCAGCTCCATATCCCTAGAGCTATACTACTATCTAGAGTCTAGACCATGGACCAAGATGACATGAGAGATCTTTTCAAATTTTTTTCCCTGAAATCTAAAGGTGCTCTAGATACAGAATTCCCTAATCTAACATTATAGGAAGCTTGTCCCAAAATGAGGTTCATCTGGCATGACTTATTCTTGATAAAGTCATGCTGATTTTTAGTCACTGCTGTTTCCCTCTCTAAATGGCCATAAAGCAGCTTTCGAATATGATGCTCTACAATTCTATCAGGAAACAAAAGCAAACTCTTTGGCCTATACTTTATAGATTCCATCCTCTTCAATATTTTTTAAAAAATCAGGATATTTGCACTTTTCCTGTTCCGTAGACTTTCAGAGATCATTAGCCATTGGTAAACAATCACATCTGACAGTTCTTTCGTTGCCTCAATATATCATTTGAACAGGCTAGTGACTTAAACCTATTCTGGGAAGTTAAATGATATTATAGTCACTGTTAAACATCTTCATTGTCTCCTTCCCAGTACAAAGATAAAACAGAAGCAAAATCAAACTTTTCCGTCTATTGATAAGCATCCTCTCTCCCTTCTTTTATCTCAATAATACCTCCAACCTAGCTTAAAAATCCTTTTTTTGGTTCTTTGCTTTATTTAACATTGATTTTAGATTCAAGGAAGAGTCAGTCAATAAATGTTCATTAAGTGCCTATTATGTGCCAAGCATAGTGCTAAGCACTGGGAATACAAATATGAAAAAATAAATGGCAATCCCTGCCATTGAGCAATTTACAGTAGAATGGTTGAAAGACAGCACAAAAAAGGAAACTAAAAACAGGAGAGAGGGCAGGATGGGGAGAAGGTAGCAAGGCAAAGGGGCATGACGAAATCTGGTCCAAGGAGTGCAAGTTGCTGGGAAATGAAGAGATGATTAGCCAGGGAGACATCTTTAAAGAGAGGCTTTGGGAGTCCTTGATCTGCCCAGCAGCCCTCCAGTCTAGGAGGCAAAGGGCACAGAGGGTGCTAATTGATGTTAAGTGACTTGACCAGGGTCACACAGTTAGGAAATTGCTGAGGCCAGACTTGAAATGACAGATCTCTATTACCGAATCCCTTGACCCCTGGTTCTGTCACTGTTCACCCTTTGCCAAACCCCAATGCTGCAATACCACCACCATCTTGCTCTTCCTCGTATGCTGATGAATGGTGCTGGAAGGAGTCACAACCATATCGATGGTATTCACTCCACATATGTTGTCTTATCTCACCTGGGCCCTCATTGCTACAAGGTAATCCTTTCCCTCTTCCCTATTTAACTCTCTACTGCAATCTTAAGAGAAGCCTTTCCAAACCTCTTCTCTTCCCGAGTCTCCCACATGGTCCCTACCACTCCCATCCCAACATCTTGTCTCTCTTCATACTTGAATTAGAAAATTGAGGCCGTCTGCCCCAAGTCTCCCCTCCCCCATGTCAGAACCCCTTGACCTCACCCTGCATTTCCTCCTCTTTTTTCTCCAGTCTCTGATAAAGCAGTCGCTCTCCTCATTGTAGGCCAGCCCTTTTACTTACACCCTTGATCCCATACCCTCTAGTCTTCTTTATTAAATTGTCTATCTGTATCTCTCTACCTCTCCCCTTCTCCCTTTATCTGTCTATCTGGCTCTCACTCATTTTCAGTCTCTTCCTATCTCCTAGTTCCTTTCCTGCTGCTTACAGAAATGCCCATACCTTCTCCAACCTTGACCCCACAATTCCCTCAAGCTATTGTACTATATTTCTCTTCCCCTTCAAAACCAAACTCAGAAAAAAAAAGTTGTGTATATGCATTTCCTCTACCTCTTTCCCCTCTCTTATTTCTGCCCCCTGGCAAACTGAATTGTAACCTCATCTTTCAACTGAAACAGTAGTTTCCAAAGTTGTCATTGATCTCTTAATTTCCAAATCAGATAGCCTTATCTAAACCCTGGTCCCTGTGGAAACAGGATCAGCCATATTTCATCCCTGTTGTCCTGCCTGCTGCTGGAGTTGTGCCAAAAATCCTAATAATTTTTATTTAGCTAAAAAATTGACTACCTTATACAATAGTCCAAAAAACATTAAATATTAAAAAATCAGTATAGTCACTTGTCCCCAGACCGCTTATCTCTTGGTCTCGTTGAAAAAGATAAGAAGAATGAAAGAACAATACTATTGACACCATTCTGAATCAGCATGTTACTAACTCATCACCAGCTGGAAGTCAGTATTAAGCAGTTGTTTTTCCCTCCCAGTAGTAATGATGGAGAAATCCATTTATCCTTAACCTTCCCCTGGCTATTCTCCTCCTTCCACCAACCTTGCCTATGAATAGTGGCAATAATTTTTGAGATGACTGGTTGGGTTAAGGATGAAATCTTATCAACATGGGAATAGTGAAATTAAATTCCTTATTCATTTTGCCTGATGAAAAATCATACTATAAATAACTGTTGGTTAATTGTGGGATTTTCTTCTTTCACTTTCCCAATGAAATGAGAGTAGAAGACCTCTTTTGTTCTGAGCTAAAATTTGAAATGCAATAACTGCTTGTGATTTAGGAAGAATGGTTTATGGAATAGATTACATTTAGTTTCAGAATCAAACAAAAAGCTAAACTACAAAAAGAGGAATTTTTTTGAAAGTCAACTTTTCCCCTTGAACTTTATCAGCTAAAGCTATAAAAATACATACCGGCTATCTCACAGTGGGGGTGAGTATGCTGTGCCTGCCATGTCACTGAACACTTATAGTCATTTACAAATCACACTTACTAATCATGACAATCCCAGAATGATAGGAATAGAGGAACCTACTCTCTAACACTTGATCACCAAAGAACAGTCAGTTGTGACTTCCCTCTAGGTCAGGTACTAAAATTTGAAGACATTAAAGATTAAAGGCAAGACCTGTTATGTTACCTGTGTCTATTAGACACATAAGTAACAGGCTGTGAGCTGATGCACTAATCATCCTCAAGCCCGCTGCTATCATCACTATCAATCAGCCAACCAATTAATCAACAGAAATTTATTGAAGGCCTACTATGTGCCAGGCAGAGTCTAAGTGCTGAAGGGACAGCAACAGGAGTCTAAAAGCCCTTGTTCTCAAAGATCCGACTTTCTTTGGAGGAAAACAAAATGTACACATGGAAGTAAAGGAATGAGGGAATAAGCATTTATTAGTACCTACTATGTGCCAAGCACTGTGCTAAGTGCTTGACAAATATTACCTCATTTATATAAATATAAAATATATTAAAGGAATTGGGGAGAGGCAACATTAATAGGTGGAGCAAACCCATGGACCTGTGTAGAAGGAGACTCTTAAAATGAGTGTGAAAGGAACTAGTCATCCTAAGTCATCCTTAGAAGGATGGGCTGTATTCCCAGCAGGAAGCAAGAGTTTTTTATCTTTGTTGTGTTATACATACCTTTGGCTGCTGTCAGTCTGGGGAAGCCTCTAGAGCCCTTCTCAGGATGATGGTTTTAAATGCATAAAATAAGATCCATAGGATTACAAAGCAAACAAATTATATGGAAATACAGTCATCACAATACAAACATATAAAAATACATACATATGTAGAGAGAGAGAGAGAGAAAGAGAGAGAGAGAAGGAGGAGGAAGAAAAAGAGACAGAGGTAAGAGATATTATAGGGCTGTATTTGACAAGACTTGGCAACTGATTGTATAAGGACGTGAGAGGTGGGTGATGAGGGGGTCAAAAATTACTCCAAGGCTGTGTACTTAAATGACGGAAAGGATAATGGGATTCTCTAAAAAAATAAATAAATAAATGAATAAAAAGGAAAGCTAGGAAGAGAGGTTGGTACTACCTAAAAAAGGATGTATTTTGTTTTGGACATAATGAATTTCAAATGCCTGTGGGTCATCCCTCTGGAAATGTATAACAATAATCTTAGTGGCCACTCTTCATTGATGAAAAAGCTATTTGAATCCCTATTATAGCAAGGGTAACACTCAGTCCCTGGACTCAGGCAGGTAACAATGTAGTATAGGAGAGGCTTAAACTCAGATTCACTTTTCTTTTGTGTCGCAGCAGAGATTGTCAACTCAAATTCTTATAGAGCTCTAGTTCCATACATTTTACCCAGGACTCCTATTAAATTGAATGAATTTTCTAAACCTAGAAAGTCCTCTATACCTGCATGTTGTCTCTCCTCTCCTCTGGCTTCCAGAATCTTTAATTTCCTTCAAGGCTCATCTTGGGAACCACCTCAGATGAGAAACTTTCCCTGACCCATTTAGTTCTTAGTTCTATCTCTTCAAATTATACTGTAGTCATTAATCTGTGGAAATATATCCCTGGTAGACTGGATGCATGTTGGAGCAGTTTTTCATTTTGTTTTTGTATTTTTAGCACCTACTGTGATGCCTTGTATATAATACTTACTAAATTGAATTGAATTTTGTTGTGGTTTGGCCATTTCATTTGTGTCCAACTCTTTGTGACCCCATTTGGGGTTTTTTTGGTAAAGATACCAGAATGGTTTGCCATTTCCTTCTTTAGCTCATTTTACAGATGAGGAAACTGAGGGTTAAGTGACTGACCTAGGGTCCCACTGCTAGTAAATATCTGAGGTCAGATTTGAACTCACAGAGATGAAACTCCCTGACTTCAGACCCAGCACTCTATCTTCTGTGACACCTAGAATTTTCTGTGTGTGTTTATTTAAGTAGAGTATAGGTAATAATGTGTAATATGTGTTCATGACAAGTGATTCCTTTTATTTTTCAAACAAAGTTTAATGTTGTAAATCTGCTCTTATATATTAACAACCCTCCTTCTCTTTTTTTAGGACTGTTGAAAAAACTAACTACTCTAAAAGTAGATGACAATCAACTTACCGTGTTACCCAATGCAATTGGAAAGTAAGTACAGATGTATCGAACAAATTCATATTACTAAGGCTAGAAATGAAAATGTTTTTCAAGAAAAACATTTGTTGACATTTTCAACAAAAGACTTGTTGAAATTTCAAATTATTTTAAATTTAATTCTATATCAAGACATTCTTTTACTACCTTAATTCAGTCATTTGTTGATAAATACTCTACTTTTTACAAGCAACATGGATGCTTTATAAACAATTTATATTTACTCTTGCCAGTCTTTTAAAAATTCCATCAGTCTTTTGCTCTAACCAAGAAGCATTTCAAAATTAAATGCTCATTTATGCTGGCATACCCTGTTTTAATAAAGCTTTGTAACCTACATATGAACATTTCCTGATATACTTGGTATCGTACTTTAGAGAAAAAAGTGTTTTTACTGCAATTTCATTTGACTAATAAAAGTTGAAATAAATTAATTTGTTTTAGCTAAGATTTCAGTTTTTTGGTAAAAATAATTGAAGATGGACCCGCAGAATTATCTGAAAGGAATAAAGATTCATTTGAAAACTGTAACTAAGAGTAGATAAAGACAAGATCTTGTTCTCGTGTCTTATTCCAGGAGAACATAAGCAATGAGAAGAAGGCAGAAATTCTCAGCTATTGTTTGCATTTGTTTTCTCTGTCTTGGAAAATGTTCAGCATAAATTTGGCTAATGGAGAATCGATATCCAAAATAAGCAAGGAGATAGCAAAAGAGGATATAGCTGCCCCTCATGGATGTAGGGCATCTGGGCCAGATGAACTCCAGCACAGGGACTGGAAATATGGGTGGATGGGGTGGAGGCTGAGTACTCCTCAGGGGCATGGGATGCTACAGTGTTGTTGGAGTCAAATAGAATTAAGGACATGAGGATCCCTGAGAGCACAGACTGACTTAGAAATCTCCATGTTAACATTAGCTATGTTCTGTTGTATTTGTATTTATTTTGTTAAATGTTTCCCAATGACATTTCAGTCTGGTTCAGGTTGTGTGTTTGATGCCTCTGATATGATGGAATATGGATGATAGAAAGGTACCAGAAATGGAGAAAGGAAAACATTTTGCTTTTCAGAAAAGAGGACAGCCTTGACAGGGCTGCTTCAATTTCAGGCAGAAATTGGAGGCTGCATTATTAAATTAGAAAATTGGATGATTTCATTGACTATTGATTTCTGTTGAATTGGCACGCTTCAGCTCTTGGAGAGGTAGCAAAAAACTTCATTACTCTTTAATCTCATTATGCTGTCTTCCAAACATTACATTTATCTCTACAATGACGTAAGTCATCTTCAGTGGTTCTGTGAGGCTCCCCATTGGAGGGATAGCATGGTGTAGTCTGCTTTCACTTGAGATAAGCTCAAAACAAGATAATTTCATCAATCTGTGGAATTTTTTCTACCCTTTCTTATTCTCGTAAAAATTCTTAGATACTATTTTAATTCTTTTCAATAATGCTCAAAGGGAAAAAAATCTCTTTTTTATACATCAATTCAGCCACCAAAGTGATTTTCCTAAAGCACAGGTTTGACCAAGTCGCTTCCTAATCACTAAACTCCACTGGCTCCCTGTCATCTCTGGGAGCAAATGCGAAGTGCTCTGTTTGGCATTCAGAGCACTCCCTAACCTACCCCGCTCCCACCTTTCCAGTCTTCTTATACGTTACTCCCTGACACGTACTCTGATCCAGTGACACTGGCCTCCTGGCAGTGCCATGAATGAGACACTTCATCTCTTGGCTCTGGCCATTCTCTCTGGCCCCCACCCTCTCCCCCATGCCTGGAATGCTCTGCCTCTTTGACTCTACCTCTTGGCTTCACTGGCTTCCTTTAAGTTCCAACTCAAATCCCATCTTTAACAGGAAGCCTTTCCTAACCCTTCTTAATTCTCCTGCCTTCCCTTTGTGAATTATGTCCTCCTTATCCTGTATATAGCTTGATATATAGATATAGATAGATGTAGATATAGATATATTTCTTTGCATATTGTCTCCACATTAGATTGTAAGCTCCTCAAGGGAAGGCATGGTCTTTTGTCTATTTTTGTATCCCTAGTGCTTAACACAGAGCTTCACACACAGTAGACACTTGAAAAAATGTTTATTGATCAGATTGAATTAGTAAAATGCTTGATGCTTTTCCTACTTATAGTTCCATTTGAAATATAAGCTAATGGCCTTAGCTCTCAAAAAGCAAGTCAGAGAAAATTGGTGACTTAAAAAATAGAAAAGGTCAAATGATTTTCACAGTAAGAGCTAAAATAGTGAGTGCCAAGAGCGGTACTTTACACACTTGTGATTGTGTCCCTCATTAGCAAACAATGTTCAAGCCTAGACCTCCAGTACACACACACACACACACACACACACACACACACACATGCGTATAGCTCTCATCACTGTATAAGTTATACACATATACTATTGAACTAATAATTACTTATATTTTTAAATGTGCACAAAAATAGAAATCAAAAATGATGAGATGAAGGTAAAATCATATTTTATGTGGCAGGCTTTCTGATGGGGACATGAAGTACAGGGAATATAAAGAAAAGCAAAAGACAGTCCCTGCCCTCAAGGAACTCACAGTCTGATGGGGGAGATGACATGCAAACAACTATGTGAAAATAAACTCTGTATGCAGGGTCCAGAGGAAATAATCAATAGGAGAAAAACACTAGAATTGAGAGGGAGGAATTGGGAGGGATTCCTGCAGGAAGTAGGATTTCATCTGGGACTTAAAGGAAGCCAGGGAAGCCAAGAAGTGAGGATGAGGTGGGGGAGCATTCCAGGCATGGGGGATAGCCAGAGAAAATGCCTGGAGCCAAGAGATAGAGTAACCTGTTCGTGGAAGAGCAAGGAAACCAGTGGCCCTAGATGGAAGAGGATGTAGAGGGTATAAGAAGATTGGGAAGGTGGGGGGCTTGGTTATGAAGGGCTTTGAACATGAACCAGAGGATTTTGTATTTGATCCTGGAGGTGATAGGGAGCCATTTTGGAGTTTGTTTGTTTGGTTTTATTTTTTTTTTGGGGGGGGGGGGGTGGAGTGACAGGATCAGACCTGTGTTTTAGGGAAATCACTTTGGTGGCTGGATGGAAGATAGACTGAATTTGAAGCAAGCAGGACCACCCCACCCCCAGCAGCTATAGCAATAGTCCAGGTGTACCAGAGTGGGGGCAGAATCAGAGGAGAGAAGGGGGCATATTCCATACATGTTACAGATGCGGAATTAACAGGCCTTGGCACTATATTGGATATGAGGGGTGAGAAATAGTGAAGAGTCCAGGATGATTCTTGGGCTGGGAGCCTGAGGGACTGGGAGGACAGTGATGCCTTCAGCAGTAGTAGAGAAGTTTAGGGAGGGGAGAGGATTTGGAGGCAAAGATAATGAGTTTGATTAGGAAATGTGTTTAAGATATCTAGGATCTTCAGTCTGAGATGTCAAATAGACAGTTGGAGATGCAAGAGTATAGATCAGCAGTGGTCAGGGCTGGTTGAGTAGATTCATTAAAATCATCTTTTAACACTTCCCTCTTCTTTGTACACCCAATCCAATCAGTTACCAAGTCTTGATCATTGTAACTTGACAACATCTCTCAAACAAGCCCCTTTCTCTCCACTCATGGAGCCTAAGATCTAGCTCAGAGCCTTATCATATCTCACCTGTACTACTACAACATGTTTCTAATCGTTCCGCCTCCCTCTAGCCCTTCCCCAATCTGTTTTCCATATAATAGTCAAACAGATTTTCCTAAAACACAGATCTGACCATATCACCCCAGTATTCATGCATTTTCAAAGGCTTCCTTTGACTTTCAGGATAAAAAGAAAACATCTTCAGCCTGGCATCTATAACCCTCCATCATCTGGGACCCATCTACCTTTGCAGTCTATTACCTACTATCTTAGTTCTAGGGCAGATGAAATTGAATTCCCATTTTGTTACGTGACACATTTGTGAGAAAAGTGTTTTTAAAATGATGAATGCTATTATGTATTAAATGTATTATTAAAAGCATTGCTTTCCTGAACTAAGTCCACCACAACTCCACAAAATTCTCATCAGCTAGAAAACCTAAAAATAGTGTTTTCCATTTTTCACTCAAATTGTTTCAATATCTGAGAATTGTCTTTGGTGATTTTTTTAGATTGTTGATGATTTGCTCTATTCCCCACAACTGGAAGGGATTCCCTAGGTTTTGTATTAAATAGCTGGTTTCTTTGGTTATTGCCTGTCACTGGATCTTAATTAGTTCCCAAGAGACATGTAGCTGCTATGAAAATTGAAAGTGTGCTACATCATGGCAGTCAACTCATACATTCGCAGGATGTTTTTGAATGATTAAGGGTGATGGTTAGGTTGACGGTGCCAGCAGCTCTTGAGGCAAAGTATTTTGGTAGGAAAAATACATAATCTGTTGTGCAAATATAATGAGAATAGCTAAGCAAGAGATCTTGCCTTTCTTACATCAAGCTCAGTATTCAGATGGACCCATGTTATGTCAAGACATCCCCATGAAAAATGGAAAATGCATTCAGTTATGTAGATATTTGAGCTACGTTGAGTCAATTACATAAATATTTTACTTTGAAATGTTAAATTCGTGTTGTTAGTTCTGTGACAGAGTTTTAATTATGAGAAATGTTCATATGAAAAACAATGAAAAACAAATGTTCATATGAAAAACAGTGAAAAACAAATTTATTGCCTGTATTTACTTGTTTGCCGCTGTGTAGACAAGACGTCTTTGTGACAGATTTTTTTAAGTTTGCAGTGATTTGTTCTGGCATAATCATATAGACCCAGCAGCGCATGACATTTTTGTTAAAAAAGCATCATCCAATGCCTGAGAGAACATAAACTTCACTACTGGACTTCAATATTTTCTTAAGAGTAGTCCTGTTCAATGCAGCTTTGTAGAAAAATAGAAGAAACAGTATCTAAAATTTTAATTACAATTAAAAAGATCCTGATTTAAATTTTACCTCTATCAATG